TTTGCCTGCATAGGCAAATGTATGGGCAAATATAGAGCACCATATTTGCCCAACATTTGCCAAGCGGACATATGATGACCAAATCCATTATTTCGTCGAGTGTTTGTTTCACGTAGCCCTGCTAGCATTATTGTCATCGAAAGCCATGACATCGAAGTCGTCATAAACCGCGCATATTTCTCCACCAGTACAATGGGTCGCGTTATGACACTAGACGCCACTTACAGTATCGTGGTTCGCCTCTTGAACAGCTATTTCACTGAAGAACCGATCGCACCAAAGGGAAGCGTAGGGTTATTCTATCTGGATTCAGAACATTTAAGCGATGTCATCATTACCAATACAACGTTTTCAAACATTCAGACCAATGGGGTGGGGAGTTGCATGTCCCTTAAGAGCGGAGGTGCAAACGTACTAGTAGTTAATTCAACGTTCAGAAACAACCACGCGCGATGCGCGGGCATCTTTTGGATGCCCGTTGAAGAGTCGTTGGTTCTTGTCTTTCAGGGTTGCTATTTTGAGTCCAACGGAGCGGATGAACCTGGAGGGTTGGCCAGTTGTAAAGGCAAGTCTGTGAACATCACAATGCTGGACTCAAAGATCAATGGCAGCAATGTTCAAGGACCGGGAGGGGTCTTTGACGCGGGATTCAATGTTTGTGACAGCCAAGGCGAAATATGGCGCGCGAATGTGGCATTTAAAAACACTGTAATTGAGCATTGTTCTTGCACTGGTTCAGGTGGTGTTGCAGCAATAGATTCAATCGATGGTCACATTACTGTACAAGATAGCTTTTTTGGAAATATTAGTGCTCAAGGACCAGGTGCTGTGCTATGGGCGGGTAACACTAAAACATCCAGCGCCAGCTTACACATTAAAATTTCTAATACTGTTTTCAAAAACAGTACTACACAGGCTCCTGGTGGTTTAATAAGTGGTGGCAGGGTAAGAAAATTATTTTTGGACAAAGTCGCAATAGATTCAGCAAGTGCGTACATAGGACCAGGCGGTGTACTAGACATCGAGGGTGAAAATGATATGGAAGTAAATATCACTAACAGCACTTTTAAGAACTGTAAAGCCGCTGCACCAGGAGGAATATTGTACCTGACGGCAGATAAACCGCTAACAATGGCGATCTCGGATTCTGTTTTCGAGTCTAGTGTTGCTCCGGGTCCAGGGGGTTGTATGTACTTAATGTTAGGACAGGCCTATGCCACGTTTAACAACGTAACGTTTAGAAACTGTCAAAGTTTATCAACTCCAGGCGGAGCTGTGTATATTATTGCAAGGACTTCTAGTGAGATAGTATTTCATTCCAGTGTTTTTCTCGATAATACTGCACGGGCGAGTGTTGGAGGAGCATTGTGTATAGACCTTCCACAAGATATTATCAGTGATCCGGGCTGTATTAAGCACTCAATTATCGACGACCCTTCCACACCTCACAGATCATGGAACTATAGCGGCGAAGTCCAAATCATTGACACATCTTTTGTCAATAACACGGCTCAAAGCGGAGGAGCATTGGCGTTTTCAAGAGGGCAGCACGTAATGCAAAGCTGTACATTTCGGGATAACTTTGCAAACCTGCGAGGTGGACATATCCTCTCGTCGTCAGACTCAACTAGCTTACTAATATATGACTCGAAATTCACGCAGACACGAAAAACACAAGTTCTAAACGATGATGATAAGCATATGTGTGTGTCTTTCAGTATAGCATCTTTCATCGATACCGACAGTCGAGGTCCTTTGATATTGAAAAACTCCTCATTAGAGTCCAAGTCGTTAGGAGACGTCAAGCCGTTGGTCATGGTGTCCCAAGGAGGGTATGTCAGTTTTGACAACAACACATCCTTGATATGTCCACGAGGGAGTGACTTGGAATTCTTGAACTTTACTAACACAGTCAACACTGAATTTGAGTCTAATTCGTGTAAGATTATCTTAAGTGTGTTTCAGTTTAATTGCAAGGCATGTCCTGTTGCTTCGTACAGCCTTCAGCATGGACGAAGTGCTGGCTTGGAAAAGATCGATAGTTTCAAGTGCTTGTCTTGTCCATTTGGAGCTGAATGTCTACTGAGCATTAAAGCAAAAGCAAACTATTGGGGATACCAAGTACCACGCCAAAACCCACCCGCTCTTACCTTCACTAACTGTCCCGCGGGATACTGTGAACATCCCGAGCAAAGGGACTCTCTTAAGTACAACAGTTGTCGTGGCAACAGAAGTGGAATATTATGTGGTCGGTGTAAGGAAGACTACACTGAAACTCTTCTGTCACCATCTTGTCGACGCAACAATGAATGTGATGACACGTGGTTATGGGGTGTGGCAGTTGTGATGCTGTTGCTCATGGCAGTGTACTTGGTTCACAAGCCTCGTTTTAGTGTCTTCATCAGAAGGCAGATCTTTTGGTTTCGAAAAGACAATAACGATGAAGAAGTTCCTCCAGAACATGGGGATGTCAAGGTGAAGAGTCATGACAAGGGATACTTAAAAATAGTCTTTTATTTTTACCAGGTGGCCAACCTTCTCTTGATTTCCACGTCGTATAACACCATCATAGAGTCGCACCTTCTTCAGCCTGTTGTCGGGTTCTTCAACTTCCAGTTCAGGTTTTCATCCAGTGGCTTCTTGTGTCCCTTCCGTGGTCTCACAGTCGTCACCAAAGAACTCTTCATGGCTTCACAAGTATTTGGTTTGTTCATCATGATCTTGTTCTGCTACTTCTGCCATGTCTTGGTTCGCAAGTGCAAGTCCCTACCTTCACCAAATCTCGGGCCTTACTTAGGTGCTGTGCTGGAGACCATGTTGCTAGGCTACGCCGTGTTTGCTAACACAGCCCTTAAACTGTTACAGTGCACGACCATCGGTGAAGAATCACGGCTGTTTATTTCTGGTCAAGTGTTGTGCTATCAGTGGTGGCAGTACTTGTTGATGGTATTTGTTGGTGTAGTGATTGTGCATTTTGTACTTATCCTTGGGCTTGGTTCGTATTGGCTGAGAAAGGGAAGCATATCGGTAAAGGGGTTTTTATTGGGCTGTACGCTTCCACTTCCCTACCTAGTGTTCAGACTTGCCCGCCATCTCTTCTTCCGACAGCGTCAGCCCAGTGAAGAATCTGCTGAATGGAAGGCGTGCATCGAGGATGTTCTTTTTGGTGCATTTAGGCTTCGGGAAGGAGACTCCTACGGTGCTTTATACTGGGAAAGCGTTTTGACGGGCAGACGTTTGATCATCATTATCATCTACGTGTCCTTTTCCGACCCTCTGTGCAAACAGCTCCTATTAACGTTCGTCTGTGTCGCCATCTTGATCCATCACTTAACCGTGCTTCCATTCCGTAACGCGAAAGCCAATAATGTAGAAATGGCTTCTCTGTTAGGCCTGATAGTCATTGCTATAATCAACATGTTCAAAGCAAGTTTTTTGACCACTTATGGCCAGGATCCCCAAGGCCCTCTACTGCGGTGTGCACAAATCTTAGACTCGATTCAAATGATTATATTAAGTGTGGTACCAGTGATTTGTATCTTGTTGGTCATAGCGTCTGTGGTTTCCCAACTTGTTCGTCTTTGCACAGTGATGGGTCTTTTTGTTTGTGTAGGCTGCTGTAAGCGTTACTTCGCCCAGGAGAGCAGACCCTTGCTCGAGCCTACTGACTTCAATGAATCCACTGTAGTGCAAACTTAATGCTGGAGTAAGAGAAAATGAACTAAGAAAAGGAATCCTCGCACCCAATCATGAGAACTCTTTGATGCCATTTTTAGAATCATTGATTCTTTTTTTTAGAATCTTTCATTAGAACGTTCAGAGATCCCTTCTCCTGGTTCATTTTCTCTTGGCTGGAGCGTATGCTTTCATGTGATAAAAGATTTATCAGTGAGTGACCTTTGATGTAGTAATACATCAAAATATGTGCCCTAGAATAAGGAATTTCATAATTTAGAACTTACCAAATATCTTGTTAAAATGGTACTAATTAGATAAAAAGAAAATAAAAAAATCAAAATGACCCCTGGTTTACAATAGTTTTAAGAAAGACGAGTTGTATAATAACAATATCCACTATTTCCTTTACAAAACAGCTGCAATAGACCCCTTTCGAATTCCAAATTACCGCTGTGTTTCTTGATTACAGACTCATTTGCACAGGGTTAGCCTCGAGTTTGTGCACAATATTCACGTGTTCCAGTCAAGGTCCGTCGAGTTTCAAAATGTTTGTATTGTTGAAGTTGTGCATTCTTTACTTTDCYGTTGGTATTTGTGAATATTTAAACACTGATACGAGGCTAACCCTGTGCAAATGAGTCTGTAATCAAGGAACACAGCGGTAATTTGGAACTCAAAACTGGTCTATTAGACATTACATCTACTTTTGAGTTAATGTAAATTCGTGATGAGGGAAAATCTGGGGTCTGTCGAAAATGACGATGAACACTAAATTTAATTACTTAGACTTATTTTAAGCGTTAAGAAAATATTTCTAAACCAGTTATAAAACAATCTAGAAATACTTTTTGGTTTGGGGGGGGGGGGGGTGTTCATCATGTGGCAAGTTTGATATATTCTTGATCTTTTTCAGCGCCCGCACTCACTGTTTAAAATACAAAATATTATGGCGAATAAAGTTACGTTTTAGTTCAGTTAGGTGCTAGTTTAACGATTAAAGTTCTCTTTATTGTTCGTCAATGGGTATGCAAAGTTTCAGATTCAATGTATATAAATGCATGGTCAAGTTTTCCAACGTATTCGTAATCATACATAAAGAGAGATAAAACTGTATATTTTCCCGGTAGCTTCATGCAACCGCACAATATTACAGTGATGTTTTCAAGCAAGAAAGAATAAGAACATAAATAATGCTCTTTGGTCTCAAGTTATTCACTCTTATAATGATCAAGTTTTGGGATTTTTTCTAGATATGCATGATTGACAAGTTTAGTTTAGCACGGATCGCTAAGCATCTTCTTAGGCTCTCAGGCTTCCTCAGTGGCTCTGCCATATATTATAACACAGGAATCCCAAAAACATTCTGTATGATAAATATGGAGTAGCCTGCGGAGGATGCTAGTAAACACGTTACTTTGAATTGTTAATCTATCGATGTATTGTTTTTGCTAGAGAGTAAGTGTCAATAGTATAAAGTAAATACTATGACTCTTTAAAACAACGTAAAATCAACAATGAAATTGTTTATTTTTTAATTGTTGATCGTAGTTCTAATCGATCGTTTTACGTAGAATAAAGTTAGTTTACATTTCCAAGTCTGGTTGTCGTGCATTTGGTCAGTTCACAGTGTTCACAATGATTATAATGATCAGAACCAGCAGTCTTGAGTCACTATTCAAGAATCTAACAAATCTTGAACGAACTCCAGCGATTGCTCAAGCTCTTTCACAAAAGTCACTTCCTTTCCATAGCATGGATGCTGAGGATTGGCATTGACAGTGATCGAAATCGCTTTTCTCCCAAACATATAATGAAGCGCCATTGATTTTGGCGGCAAAATACACTTGACTCCAGGCCTTCCAATCGCCTCGATTTCGGGGTACCAACATGGATTTGAAGTGACGTTCTCCGCAATCTGAGGAGGCAGAATATCAAGCCAAGGTGCTCTCAGATACTCCACACTAACTTCTTTCAAACTTTTATTAGGTTTAGGAGCATTTCTAAATGGCAGACGATTGGAAAGCCCCAAAGTTCTGTACAGGGAATCAAGATGCCATAGATTGATTTCCCCTTTCTTGTAACGCATGACCTCGTCTTTGTAGCTTCGTAATGCCTTCTTTAGCAAAGTTTTCAGTCGTAAGTGTTCTTCTCTAATTAGGGTTTGATTACCGCTGCTCCTAAGTTTACAGGCTTGTTGGACGAACTGCTTCATGTCCGCCATACTGCTGTCCATGAAAGTCATCCCACCGAATCGCAAATTCCTTTGGAAATAAGGTTATTGTATCATTAAGATTGTAGTTTTAAAAAGTAGGTTTTAGAAGCACGCCCGGTGACGAACGCTGCTGATGCGTCGCCTAACCGCTATGGCGTAGAGGGTTAGTTCCTATATGTGAGTAGATTTGCTTGTTGGTTCTCTCCTGCGCTGAGGGTTTTTCTCCGGGATCTCCATCAGTTCCTCCCTCCCAAAAAACACACAATTTAATCGTGGTGGAGAGCACAGGTTTGTTAGCCACAGGCTATAATGTTCTACACTCGTAAAATAAGGACGATTTACTTTTGCGAACGTTGTCAGTGACAAAATCCAGACAGATGCCAAAGCACCTTAAACATGCCACGTAAGGAGTGGCCTTCGGCACAGAAACACGAAGGTCGTTATTTTTGGTGTACAAAGCCGCCATGTTAGAAAACAAAGAAACCATTTGCAAGGGAATAACATGTGATCTTAGATAGGAAAATCGATTAAGCTCAAGCTGAAAGATCTAGGCCTGTTGGAGAAATTCCGCAAACATAAAGCTATATATAGTGTTTGTTGTTATAGATCCAATAAAACTTGGGTGTGGCGTTTTAATTTCTCAATTCAGATCACGTCTCATTCCCCTGAAAATTATTTCTTTGCTTGACTTTCATCCATATTTATGTATCTATCAAATCGTTTCTGACAAACAAAGTAACAATACTCAAGTAAATGCTCGTGTCGTGAAATGGATGGATCTTATTCCTCTTAGCTTGGTGCAATGTTTTTCCACTTCCGACTACGTGACATTCTCTAGAGAATAAGATTCTTCGTTTGAGTTGTATTCATATTCATGTGTCTTTCCATGCACAACAGTTAAACAAATAGGTGATACTGTGGGAATAACACGTGGTTTGAAATGGGAAAACATCGCTCCACGATGAATAAGGGCTATTGGACTTATTCTTCTYTTTTCCCAAGTTTACCTGATACTAACTACTTCATTTACACTCATGGGTCTTCCAGCGATCATGCCCAGGGCAAGCTGCATGCCAGCTTGAAACACACCACCAGGCGTAGCTCCATGGCCTTTACACATCTCTTCAAAACTAAAACCACGACAAATCTGGAAGACGTCGGTGGAGAAAGGCTTAAAGGGCCCTGATTCCCGACTGGTTTGAATCTTATAATCGATACTCCGTCGGAAGTACTCGTCTGTTGTGTCGTCCCAGGTGATTGGATATGAGCCTGGATAGGTCGAATCGTCAGCGTCTGGAAGATAATACAACAGATAAATGTGCTTGGCCTGAATAAACGAATGGCAAAGTGGGTACTAATTCTACGATTTACTGCGATTCCCAGTCACACGCGACCAACTAGGCCTTCATCGCAAACGAAAAATTGAGTTTTGGTGGACGTCAATCAAAAGGGTTTCTACCGTTTCTATTGGTTTCTACACCAGGACTGACCTGAATACTCACGTGCTAACGTGCAAACACCGTTGCCCTTACCTCTCATGCTTCTCTCATGCTTATCTAACGCTTGGAGAACAAAAGCTTGAGTAGGAATAAGTGTCAGCTCACCCATCCAGATACTAGCGTCGCTTAACCGGGCTTGACTATATTTTTCCTTTACATGGTACTGTATACCCCTTTAAGGGCGTTTCCCAGTTCCCAAGCAATAAATAAGTATATGAGTACTAGAAACCCTATCCTCGCGCGCGCCGCAGAAGTTGAAATGCTGCGTGAAGCTAAAATACGAATTAATAACTTACCATCGGTGGTGGTTTCCTCTTCAAAAAGACTTTCACTCCCAACTGCAATCCGCACAAAGTTTGTCCCAACTGTCCCTGTCATTCCCGCTATATAGTTATTAACGAATCCTGCAACTCCATTGCCAAACACAACCAGCTGAACACTCTTGTCGTACCAACGATTAACGAAATTTCCCGAGTAAAGCGCGAACATTGCTTCGTTGGCGCTTCGTGGAAAGTCGTCAGGGTCGAGCGCCACAGTGAAGAGAGCATCGCGAATGAGTGCAAGATTTGTTGCGTTTCTTTGACTGAGGCACTTGAGGCGCTGTTCCTCTTGACAACGTTCAGAGGGAGTCAAGCTTGTGATTACAGCCATTGGTGTTGACGGTAAGTCTCTTGTAGCATCCATTTTCAGTATGAGTCGTATTTGTTTCTGAAGGCAAATCATAATCAAAATTAATCAAAACAGATATTTAACTGAATTTAGAGATAAAAAAAGAGTTTACTAACTCACCCTCAGCTGTTTACCAGTGAGCCTTCTTTCTTTTCCATGCTCGTTGGTGCGAATCAAGTCCAGTTTATACATATGTCCTTGTACCATCACAATAATGTGCTTCGAATTTTCTTCAGGGGCTTTGTAACGTTCAATAGATCCTGGACGAAACTGCATCGAGCAAGAAAAAATATAGTTGTACCATTGCATTGAGAGCGGTGATCCCTTGATGGTATCTTGATCAAACTCAACACTGTTGTAAAAATCTCTGGCCTTCATAAGTCCATCTATAAGCGAAGCAGCGCGGCTAACCATAGCTTCTTCTCGGGCCTCTGATGAAACTGTACCATTATCTGCTAGAGGGGTTTCATTTTCTGCAATGCCGCCCTCCACTGATGTCCCAGCATGCCTTGGGCTCCCACGGATCAAGACGCCATATGACGTCACAGGTTGGGATGGGATAATGTCTTGGTGGAAATACACTTCGTCATGGCGGATACCAAAAGTGTCTCCGTGATTTGCAGGTGCATACCAGCAGTTGTTTATGGGGTCTTGTGAATGTAACTCACACATCCTGTATTGGAAGGGATAAGGTCAAAACAATTGTCTTCTTACGGGACCTGATCTAGAGGGTTAGAATAAGGGGTTATCTGGTACTCAGCACCTCTAGAAGTGAATTTGAATAATCCTTGGAGGTGGCAGATTTTAGGGTTGTTCACAGGGCTTCCGTGACCTCCCTTTTAGCTCGGACTTAGTATAAATAAAATATTGTTAATTGCTAAGAATTTGCACCTTGTTGAATTTGTGACCCCCCTCCCCCCACTCAAACTCCAAGATCCACCCATGCTTTGAAACAACATCACATCCTTGATTATATATTTTGTGTTTAGTAAGAGAGATGCAGTATGGAAAGTGAATATGTTCATTCTTACCTCTTGTGGGCACCTTTGAGTCCTAAGATACCGCTTGCAGTTTGGACAACAAGTCTGTGAAAACCAAGTTTCATCTTTGTCGTACAAGACAATGTTCTTCTTCGTACAAGAAAGTCCACAAGGCATTTCAGGGAGGGAGGGTCGGGGATTGGTAGGTTTTCATCCCAATGAAGTACTCTTTCCTGCAAGTCTGTCCTTTTCGTCTCCTCCTGAAACAGTTTGACAGTTTACTTAGGTTTCCAAATAGATTTCGATTCTAATTTAAAATTAAATATTAGCCATTCTGAGGTTTAGGAAAAAACTGGGTCGAGTTGGCATTGCAGTGCATTGTGGGACTGTTATAGGGGAAATATTTCCAATATGGCGCCCATTTGGTCCCCTACGAAATCACAAAAATTAAAAATCCACTACAATGCCAACTCGATCGACCCAGTTTTTCCTTCAACCTCAGAATCGAATATCTGTTACACTAATTCTCAATCTGGGGGACAAAACAAAAGAATTCTTCTTATTTTAGGATTAAAATTTTAATGTTTTTTTTCCTGATTTGATCCCCAGGATGCATGGAATGAAGCGCAAGGGGTTTGTATCAGTTAATATATGAATTGCTTGCCTTCATATAACGACATTTTCTGATTACCTTTTTTCTGAGATTGTTTGGATCTGTTGCAGTGCATAGCGGCGAGGAATATGGCTTCTTCCCGTAAAATATTCTTCTCACAATAGCGTGACAACGAATCGATCTGTACATTACGAAACCTCAACAGAGACTTGCCTCCTCGATACTCTTCAATCTTTATATTTCCGCATAGATATATTCTTTGAAAAGAAAGTAACGCAATACCAGGAAAACATTAGACAGGTCATATGATTCGGATTTCCTAAAATAACCATGAGAAAAAATTTCACATCGGCCGTAGTTTTCTCAGAATACGAGGAAGGGATTTTTCCCTCTGAAACCGGACATGATAAGCTAATTGAATGTCACAAGACCTGGGCCGAGGCCACACTGAGAGGTTTAACTAAAGTTGAGCTATATCTAACATTAGTTAAATTAATTACGAATCCCATCTTCTGTTAAGTTAACTCTAGTTAGGTGCTATGTTCGTCGGTAGGGCAAAATAATAGAATTTAACAGAACTCAATCTAAAGTAAACGTTGTAAGTTGTTATTATGTTAGTTAATCTTGTTATTACGTCATACTGTCACGCGGAGATCTAGAAATAACACTGAGAAATTAACATACATTGTTTTCACTTTTTCTTATACACCATCCTTCTTCCATATAACATCCTAAGAAGCTATAAAGAGCAACATTTAGAAACAGACTTTGTTACAAGATAATCATACCTTGTGAAGCTTTACAGACAATTCATTCACCCGTGTGAGTTTGTTTTTTTCTCGGAAAATGGCATTGAGCAAGACGAACGGCGCTGTGGTCCTTTTAGTAGGATTTGTCAACTATTTAGAATGGGCAATAGTCATGACTACAATATATCCATATATTCTATCGGTAAGTACTGGCAGCTTTCTTCTTCTGAAGAAAGATTATTCTGTATTCTTTAATTATTTACATGTAGGCTGACCACGTCGTTGCTCGAGTGTGTTCGATGTTCAATTTTCGGCTTCTCGTGAGTTCTTAAACCTACCCGAAAGGAGATAATTGGACCTCTGGAGCTCGGGGTACCGACTATCCAGCCTTGCATATTACATACGGCCCCTAAAAAATACAAAATAATATGACGTGAAATGAAAATTAGCAATATATATTATTATTCATCGATCTTTACAGCTGTCAAAGGATGTGACTTCTGCTACAGTCTACTTGTCTTTGGCTCAAAGTCTATTCCCTTTAGGACAAGGAATCTCTCAACCAATAGCCAGCCTTCTCGTCAAGAAGATGAGTGAGATCAAGATCGTTCTTATCGCTTCTCTTATTATAGCCATCGGTGGAAACGTGACGTACATGGCAGCGCAGAAAGCTGGTTCTGTTGTGCTGATCATTGTGGGAAGAGCCTTGGCTGGCTTTGGTGCAGGTAAGGTACTCGTCCACTGGTAGCCCACATCAGTGTACTTTCAAAGCTGGGATAGAGCTTTTACGGTGTAGTGACGTCAATCGTATGGGAGTGGCGGAGTGACTTCGGGGTACAAAACGAAAATCAGTTTTATGGAGTTTTTTTGTAATTTTTCATCTTGACAAGATTTTTTGTCCAAAGTTCTAATTGTTTCATGCGGAGGTTAAATTATTGAAAACGAGTTTTTGCTTTATTATAGCGGTTATTATGAGCAGTTGGACGCAGAAATACGTCACAACTTAAAAGTTCTATTGCGATAACAGTCGGCTTAAATTCATGGAGCTAATTTTTAAACAGAAATGGCAACTCAGTCATAACCGCAAATGGTCGAACTGTATGACTCTTGATCAAGGCATGCATAGCTTTTAAAACTCGACCGGCGCAAATTAAAAATCTTTATTTCATGTTATGCAATCAATTTTTTATTTCAGTTTTGTATCAAAAAATATATATAATAATTTGAATGAAAACTCATCATATCGTTGGATTTGACTGTCAAATTTGTTTAGGTAGTGGAGGAGTTGCGTATGGTTTCATCGGGGCAAACAGCAGCCGAGAAAACCGCGTAAAACTGATGTCTTATTACCGAGTCACTTGTATGATCGGAGTGATGTCGTCTACGATCGGTAAGACAAAAACTACAATTGGTTACTTGTTTGATTAAGAGTAAATGGTTTGATTTAAGTTAGAAAACTCATTCATAATTCATGAAGAAAACACAATAGAAATCATGACCATGAAGGTGATTTTATATCGGATAAAGATTCGTCTTCATTTGCATAAACTTTAACTTGGATTTTCTCTATCCAACTTGGTTCAATTCGTAAAGAATTCGGTACAGTATGAGAACATACATCTGGAGTTTTCTAAGCCGTTTAATAAACTCGCAGATCGTGTTTTATCGGGTCTAAAACCACTCGGCTACGCCTCGTGTTTTATACCCGATAAAACACTCCTGCTCGTTTATTAAACAGTACTTAAAACTCCTCTGCGCATGGAAGATTCAGTAATTTTCCAGCAACGATGTGCGCTTTCTTGACTGCGTTACAAGAGTAGTATGCCACATTACTAGTAGGTAAACAACAACTAAGAGACTGCGTGACGCACCAAACGGAATGCGTTACAAGACCAGTATATAATAGCACAAATGCAGCACCAAAGAACTGTGTGACGCACACAACAGAATGCGTTACAATAGCATAGACACAGCATGCATGCGTTACAATACCAGTAAACCTGCGTGACAAGGATATGTTTTCATGAGATGAGGATCATAAACTATGCGCAAGGCCAGAGGAAATATTTGGCATGAGAAGATTAAATGATGATTTCTAACATCTTATTTTCTCAAAAACCAGCATCAGCAACATTCCTTCCCGGGTTTGGTAAGAATGCTCTTGGTAAAGCAACGGGGTTGAACGAGTTCACAGCACCAGCTGCCCTTACCATTCTCTTCTTGTGTATCTCATTAATCCTGGTGACATTTGTACTTAACGAAGCTGACTGTTCTCCAGTAGGTAAGTGTATTAACTCAGACGTCCTATTCTTCATTCAAAAACAAACAAACAAAAAAACAAAAAAAACCCCAACGAACGCCTATTGTAATTTGTCTATACCCAATGTCTATTTGTCTTTTTTAACAAATCCTGAAAGTTGCTTGTCAATAACGTATGTAGCTTGTTCGCGCGCAACTATCTGAAGTCAGCCGCGGTGCGCAACAAAGATATGCACAGATAAATGCACACCTTCGATCTTTAGAGATATTCGATTATTTGCTTCTTTTTTTCTTAAGGTGAAGCTGGCGACGGAGGATCAGTCGCACGTTCGCTCAAGTCACGTGGTGTATTACTGGGTCTAATGCTCTATCTTCTTAACGGCTACGTGACCACGTGGGTTGGTTTCACCATGCCATTGGTCGCTTTCAATCATTTTCACTTTAACGTGCATGAGTACGGTTGGTTGATGGTTGGTGTGTCTGGCATAGCCACTATTTCTGCCTTCACCATGGCGTTCTTGTCCAAGTCCAAATGCATGGCGAACAACAAATATGGCGACTGGAGAGTCATTGTTGGTTGTTATATTTTCATGTCTGTGGCCATCATTATTGCTTATCTTGGGGGACCATCAGTGAGTATACTTGACTCTTAAATGGCTTCCAACGTCGAGGGTTCTGCAAATTTTTTAATCTACAATCTAAATCTTACACCTTTCATTCTCACTGATTCGGAATGTTTATTTTCTTCAGGTTTTGAAGTCTTCGCCTCAACATACTAAGGAAGAACTCTTCATTAGTGGAGTTATTTTAGTGTTTTTAACTTATTCCGTCGCTGGTGTAATATTGCCATCCATGACGACAAAATACGTAGCCAAAGCTATGATGGTAAGTACTACTCTTCCAGCCTAAATATAGTATACACCTAATTGAAAAAAAAAAAAATTTGAGAAGGTCACATCATCGAAGCTAAGACCGAAAAGGATTTTGGGTACTCCGAAATGTGTATTATATTTGCATATATACATGTAAAAATGCACAGTAGAGCAAAGTCGGTCGACCTAGATTAACAACATGGCAAAGCCATGATGCATAAAATGTGCACAGGAAAGGAAAGCTGCAATACGCATGAAATTAGCATAATTGTTTGTCTTACCATAGGCCTTTTCTGAGTTCGATAAATAGAATGCATTGTGGTCTAGATTCGGTACAAACAACACCATATAAGGTATGATGAACAAAGACGTTTGTACCGAAGCTAGACCAAAATGCATCATGTTCGCTATCTCAGAAAAGGTCTATGCTTCCCTATCGGTCTTAGCTTTGATGATATAACATTTTGCTGAACCCGACAACGTTTTTTCAATTAGGTGTATGAGTAGTACTTAATGTATTAGAAATAGGTGGATCACCAAATACATTTATTGGCAGTAATAAAATAAATAGAGGATAAACCCGTCTTATTTGACACAAATTCTGTACGAGTTCCTCCATTTGCTTCGAAAACGTCAGATTATAAAAGTGTAAAGTGTATTATTTTGTTCTTTTCTTTTCCTCAGCCTGTGATAATGCCTTACTGCATCGCCGCAATGTCAATAGGAAAAGTCATCGCACCCCTCGTCAGCAAAGCCGAGCTAAGCATTCAAGGTTGGGAGTTTCTATTCATGGGAACATTAGGACTTACTATTCTAGGTCTTGTTCTTTTTGTGTGCTTTTTCCGCGAACCGGAGCCAGAAGAAACCCCGCTTTTACCAGCTGCAGGGGCTACGTTAGCTAGAGATAGGACGAGTTCAGCAGAGCAGGGAATAGTGGATTCTTATCCCCACACTAGCGAAGAATAATGGCGAAGGCAAGAAGGAAAATGAGTGGTTTGTCGAATGATAGCTGGTGATAAAGCTTGTCCGTTCAGCAGACAGCGTTACGAAATGTGGCTTTCATCTCCAGAAATCATCAGCCATCAAAGAGACTACAAAATATAAACAAATGTTTTTAAAAAGGACTGATAAACCAACATGTAGGCATATGCACCTTTATCACACGGCGGCCATGTTTATTCTTGTGAAAATAAAAGCCGTTTAATCCGCATAAATTTATTCTCAAGGATTTGAATGCGAGGCTACTCGCAGTAGAATCTACTGTTTAAACCAACATGGCTGCCGCGAGAAAAAGTCCCATAAATACTTGAATGAGCCTGAAGCGAGATGACGTTTTACCCCCGTCTCTAGACCATAATCCTTTTCACACTGCTTTTGTTCTTTAATTATGA